AGCTTTCATATATTCTTTTTTCAACTCTGATATATTGTGCTTTTTTTCTTGACTATTTTGAGAGTAAGATTGAATAGTTGTCATGCTAGGAGTTAAAAATTTTTTTTAATAAAAATAATCGGAAGAAAAGATTTTAAGGGAGGCTCGGGCATTATAACGCGCTTAAAAGTGCTAAAAGTAAAAATTCTCAAGGAAATATATATTCCTAAAATTTATTGATAACCTAAAAATTTTATAAATAATATATAAAAAAACAATTATATTTTTTTTTTGAAGTATTTTAAGAATACAGAGAAATTTGAATTTTAATACCACACTATTAAAGGGGAACAATGGTTAAAATATTATTGATCGATCAGAATTTATAAAAATATAGATATGTATATAATTCTTTAAGTTACTATCGTCTTAGATTACAGGGAAATTTGAATTTTAATATCACACTATTAAAAGAGAACAATGGATAAAATATTATTGATCGATCAGAATTTATAAAAATATAGATATGTATATAATTCTTTAAGTTACTATCGTCTAAGATTATCGCTTTGTGCCGAAGTACAGTTCAAATTAAACCTAAATCAAATTATTTTTGCCCTGCACTCGCTTCTCTCTCCTTGCTAAAAACTGCACTCCTTTAAATTATAGGATGATTAGAAATCAAATTGAATTTATTTTAATATTCCCATTAAAGAGGAAGAATGGAAATAATGTTTTTAGAATGTCGATGCAAAATTATAAATGAAAAATGTCAATATCAATGTTTTGTTTTCTGTTTGTAATAAGAAAAATTCGTCACGTAACAAATTCTAATTTATCCCAACAGCATAAATAATATACATTTTCAAGATGTCCATGAATTTTACCTTCAAAATCTTTAGAGAAAAAGGAGTAATATATCAGAGTTGGAACATTAATATAGAAGAGTTTTAGAATGTTTAGCCGAAGGATACAAATTATTTGTAATAAGTCTATTCGGGGCAATCATTACTATTATTATTAATGCAATATTATAGTAGAAAAAGGAAAGAATAATTGAAAAGTTGAATCCATCGCAACAACAAGATTCACAAGCCTAAGCAGAATCACATCATTAATATTATCTCTAATATCATCCGTCAGAAAATGTATTTTAAATAAAAGCATCAAGAAAGACAACATTCAAATTATAGAAATTAGTGACGAGATACTAAATAGTTTATTTAATAATCAAATACTGCACTATATAGAGGATAAGAAAAAAAAAAATAAAAATTACAACTTAGTAAATCTTAGTTTTATAATTTTTTTTCTATCTATGTTATTATTCTTGCAATTATTTCAATCCATTCGAATCCAGAATTTGCATTACATATTTTTATTATAGGCTTATTATAGATTTTTTATACACTGCTTTATTTTTATTTGTTCTTTATTGATAAAAAATACAAAATAAGCAAAGACGATAAAGACAATATTAAAGACACCCTAAAAGGATTGCTTGTATAATTTATAAACCCAAATAACATCATTTAAGAAATTAGCTTATAAACCCATAGAATCACAGAGGTCTTTGATGTAGGACACTCTAAAGAGAAAGGAGAAAATTGAACAAATAAAATAAACAATCTATTATTTCTTTTTTTTCATTATTCACCTATTTAATAAGGCATGCTTGATTATTATTTTTTTTAATTATATTTACATTATCGTGTGCATCAAAGTGCGCCCTGCTTCTCTTTCTGGGTTGCTTTTGTGTTTTCTAATAATAATATCAGATCCTGTGATGGGAACCTTTCATATGATTGGCTAGCATAAATCAATTGCACTGGTAACTTATTTATACAGTTTAAAGTACTTTTGAGAATATAACATTTCACTAATAAAAAATTATCAAAAAGACCATTTCTAGCTTCGAAAGAATGCAGTTGTACAGATTTATCAAATGAATAAAGCTTTTTATAATAATACATCTTTTACGTCAACCTGCAATTCTGTTTCCTAAAAATTTTCTTTTTTTATTGAATCTTATTTATTATCAAAAATCTGCAGATTTGGAAGTGCTAAAGAAACATTTAATGTTAGTAATTGTTATCAAAATGGAATTGGAGTCAAAAAAGATGAATATAAGGCATTTAAATATTATATAACATCTGCAGAATTGGGTTATGCTAGTGGGATATCTGAAATTAAAAATAAATATCGGTTGTTATGGATTCCTTTTGATGAGGAAAAGATGGATTTTCAACTGTATATTCTGCTAGATGGTATAATAAAAAAAGGCAAATTGCACTTAAATCTCTTTATAATTCAAGTGATCTTAAAAAAAAGTCATAAACGAGGTTAATATAGTTTATTATTATATTTTTTTTTTAACAAGTTAAAAGCTTATTTTGATATAGGTCTTAAAAGTCAAAACAAGTGCTCGATCTGGTTGATCCGAATGACCCGAAACCAATCTGGTTATAATAAATTTATTAGATAGGTCATGACCCATATAATAAATTCATTATTACTGGATTGGTTTTGGGTCATTCGGGTCAACCCGATCAGAGCACTAGTCAGAACTTTTTAAAATTTTTTGGATTATCAAAACATAACATTTTTCAAGATTATGTTCTTGTTATGGATTATGCAAGTATAGGTTCATTACGAAGTAATCTTAATACTGTGGCGTGATTAGAATGGGAAAAAAAATTATGTATATTGAGTTATATTGTTTCTGATCTTGAAGAAATTCATTCTCAATCTCTTACACATAGAGACTTACATAGCGGTAATGTTTTACTAGATAATTTGTATAGTGCATATGTTACAGATTTAGAATTATCCTGTTCCGTTTTTAAAAAGAAAAATGATAGAGTGTATAGAGTTTTACCTTATATTGCCCTAGAAGTTTTAATTCATAAACAATATTCTAAAGAATCTGATGTTTATTCATTCGGAATGATTATATAGAAAATATTGTACGGAAAGCCTGTATAATATCGACAAAAATTAAGTGAACAAGAACTTCATTTAAAAATATGCTATGATGGTTTATGGCCATTTGTAGACGAAGAAGCCCCCGATGTTACGTTGAATTAATGAGAAAATATTGGGAAGAGAAACAGAACGACCTATGGCAAAACCGATCTGTGAAAAGTTTAATGAATGTCTAGACGACAAAAATATCTTATCGGAGTTATCCACGTCCAAACCTGTACTTGAAAATATTGATGATTATTACGCGAACTTGTTTAGAGGTGGGAACAAATACATTTCTCCGACTTATTCGATCTCTCAAGGTAGTATTTTTTTATTAGCATTTTTTTTTTTATCATTAATGTCATTTTTATTTAGTTCGGGATAGCAGTATACAAGATTTAAAAATCAAAGATTGAATTCATTACTAAGTTATTAGATAGAATTTTAAATGCCCTGAATCAACAGAATCGGTCGTTAGCTTTATAATTAATAAATAACTTCTGATGAATCAACTAAAAGAGTAGATAGTAGTAGATATGTAATATATTAGTAGATATGCTAAATGTAAAAATATTATTCAACTTTAAAGTTGTTATGCGTCAAACTAAAACTTGTATCTGATCAAAATTTATTCGATATTTGAATCTCATAGGTCAATTCACGTGACCTCATCTCACTTAATTGAACGGAAGCTCATTAGCTTCGTTTAAATTTTATTCGTATTTATCAAAAAAGTTTCCAAAATAATAAGTCTCAAGAATTACAAAAATGGTGCAATGATATTTTAGTAAAGTATCCTGATAAGATTTTTAATTCGGAAGAATTTACCTCAATTAAAGAAAATGCATTAGTCTCACTTATTAGTTGGGATGATTTACAAATGAAAGAAGTAAAAATTTGGAATCGTGTTATTGAATGAGGAATGGCTCAAAATCTTGGCCTACCGTTCGACCCTGAAAATTGTTTCCACGAAAATTTTCTAGCTTTAAAAACCACCTTACAAAATTGTTTACGGGTGATGAACATTGATGACATTGTTAATAATATGCATTTATCCTTATAACACTTATCAAGAAGAGGCTCAAAAGGTTTTCCAGAAAATTCTTCCACAATTAACTTTCATTTTTCTTTTTTCCAATAATCTTGCTACGTGACGTTAAAATCAACTTTATGGCCTGGCCTTTCTTCCTGATTTAAATAAATTTATTATTAATCACATTCTATAAATTAAATTTGATTATTACTCATACTAATGTTATAATAAATTATATCAACATTATAAAACTAGCACTAGAATAATGAGACTATTTTATTATGTGATATTCTTCAGAAACTGAAAATTGTTCTAAAAATTGGATTTTTTTTTAGTGATACTGTATTGGAATAAAATGGAATAATTGTGATAAAAATTATATTTTCATGCAAATATATAGCGATAGATTATTCTTATTTTAATAAAATAATTAATGTTAAGCTTTGTGATCACATGCCTTACATCCTCAAATTCAATTACAATAAAGCAAAGTATTCAGAAAAATATAAATGTAGCTATCAGCAAAATTCTAACTTATTTTAGATTTTTTTTTAAAAAATCAAGTATCTTATTTGCAAACTTTTTTAGCAATATTTACTAAGTCCAATATTTTTTCGCCTTTAATATTTGAAAAATTTGGAAATTCTTTCCCTAATAAGTTTTTAATGAGAAAGTTGTATTCATTTTCTGTAGTATGAAGAAAAAAATTTGCATCCAACTTTATGTCGACTATTTCTTTGGGTGTAACATTTGTCACCCAAAGAAAATAGCATAGTTTCCAACATCCAGTCTATTTTTTTAGCATTGAACGTGAATTAATATCCCAGAGATTGTTCATTCGTGATTTAATATCCCTCCCCTTCCAATAACCTGTATTTTTTTTTAATGTTTTTTTATTATCTTGTTCTTGATGACAAATTTTTAATATGTTAAAAAAAACCTCAGATAATGAATAAATAAGTTTTAGCATTTTGTAATCCTGGTTTCTGATTTTTCTTATACAATGATTATAATGAGAATCTCAAATTCGAAGATAAGAGGTGCAACTATTAATATCTTTCATTAGCATTAGCAATAGTTCTGGTTCTAATGATGATATCGAGGCTTTATTGAAATATTTGTTAACAGGCTGAGAGTACATTTCAAATATTTTTGTTGGGTCTTGAGACACAAAAGTTTCAGATATTTCCTTTTCTCTCCTTTTTTTCTTTAATGAATTAATATAACCTGATTGCATTATAGAAAAATTTTAATATAAAAAAAATATATATATATTTAGTATGTATGTATTCACATATTTAATTCTTTTATTTCATTCTTTTCATGAATATTAGATTCTTTTGCTTCAAAAATAGCATATTTTTCTTTTTTTTAGGAGATTCATTCTTTTTGTGATTATTAAAAAAAGTTAATCTTAAGTATTATAAGTTTTTTATATGACTTTATATCAAAATTGAATAGTTGCTAAATAATTAATTTTTGGATTAATTAGTAAATTATATATATATATATTTTCTACTCACCAGGCTGTTTACTTCTAAAATTGTATCTAAAAAATCTGAAGCTTCTGAAGTCGAATCTGAAGCTTCTGAAGCCGAATCTAAACCTTCTGAAGCTGAAACTAAAGAATCTGAAGCTTCTAAATATTTAAAACATAATTTCAAATTATTAATTTAGTGTTTTGATTGGTGATGTAAAAGGTTAGCTTACCTATCGATTTTGTTTTCTTTCTTCGAATAAACTTGTGAAATATTAAAAAAACAAGTTAAAATTATAGCATATATTATTTGTTATAGGTTTCATACATATAGGAGTATCCAAATGTCTACATCTCTTTAACTATGAAAATAAAAATAAAATAATCAATTATCTATCTTTAAAATTTAATTATTGTGTTGATGCTTATGCAATCATTAATATAAAAAATACTTGCTGATAGAGGTTTCTCTGTAATAAGAACATATAGATTTGGCAAATTCTTTAAATTGTTATCAATATTGTGAATATCCATAGTTTCGTGCTTTTTGCATATTTAAAAATATTTGAATAATTGCTCTTCTGATTAGTAGAATATAAGCTAAATTTTTGATTTATTTACCTATCATTTCTTTCCTCATATTTATCGTCGATATCTATAGTCCTGTATGCTAAATTTTAGATCAATTTTTTTACATGATTAAAACACTTGAATTAACACTAATTAATTTAAAATAAAAAATAAAAAATACATATTTACCTCTTCATCAATATTTATAGTTTCATGTGTTAAATTCTAGAACCATTTTTTACATGATTAAAATACTTTAATATTACTCTTATATTAGTAAATTCAAACTAAATTTTTGATTTATTTACCCTATCATTGTCAACATCTGTAGTTTCGTGCAATAAATTCTAGATCTATTTTTTTTTTTTTTTGCAGTTTAAAAAACTTGAATAAATTCTAATTAATTTAAGAATTCAAAAAACACATATTTACCTTATCAATTCTTTCCTCATGCAAATTCTAGAAATATTTTTTAAAAAAAATACTTGAATAACATCTGATTAATAGCAAAATTTACAACATTTATTTACCTCATCCTTCTGATCATTGTTATTATCTTAATATTTATATTTATATTGCGTGATAAATTCTAGAATCATTTTGGTGTATATAAAAATATTTGAATAATTACTCTTCAGACTAATAAAAAAGTTTAACCTAATAATACTTATAATAATATTTTCCATTTCACTCTTTTAATTATTAGAGTAAGTTGATTTAATTAATTTAAAATTCTAATTCGAATTAAATTATTGCTTTTTTTACCTCATCATTTCTTTCATTTCAGCTACTATAATTAAAAAGTTTCTTACCTGGTTATTAATATTAATGCGTTTATTATTAAGTTGGCATACATTTTCAACATCGTCGGCTTGCATACTATTTTTTGATTGATTAAACATTTCAGAGACAACATTAATCAATTTATCTATATTTTGGTCATATTCTGAGTTGTCACTAACACTTTTATTGTATAGTTGATATTTTGAAACGTTCTTATTATCAACAATTCTCTAAAAAAAAATTCAGTTATTGTTGCATATTCTAAAATTCAAATTTATACAACAAAAAAAATTTTTTGCTCTTGGTACTTCTAAATTTACGGTAACGTTGGTTCCATTATCTAATGAAATAGTCGCTAAGCGTAACTGGTTATTGAAAGTAACAGTAACAACTTTTCTACCAGTTGCTTTCCAAATAAGGTTGATCGAATTTCTCAAAATTTCTTTACTTTTTACAATTTCAACCATTGATCTTTTAATGTCACAATAGCAAAATCGTTGATGTTTTGAAAGTATTAAAGAATGAGAATCTATATATACTAGTTGCCAAAGGAAGCAAAGTTATTTATATAATTATGTAATGATATCATTATAAATTTACATATACATATTCTTCGAAAGTATAACGATGATTCCATTACATGTTTCATGAAATTGAATGATTACTCTTTTCTCATTGGTACTAAATATGATATTTTTAAATTTGTCTAAGAATGAGCAAGAATTTAAAGTATTACAAAAACAGGTGATTCATAATTATGGAATGTCTATACTTTCAGTAAAAGTATAAGACTAAGACTCATAAACTAAATAGACTGTGTTATTGCACAATATTGATAAAGCCATGTATCTAGCTAATTAATTAGCGTAAAACTTTGGGAGTTTTTACTAATCTAAAATATTTCATATTCTTCTAGTGAAAAAATAAACATTTATCACTTTCAAATGTAGATTCATTTTTAATTTGTTTTTC